TTCAAACCCTGCAAGTGTTTCTATGGTTAAAATAAAATAAATTAAAATGACACTAGCTATAACTATCAATATTTTTCTCAAATTTCTATTTTTAATGAACAATTTCCTGTGTCAATTTGTAACTGCCATCACTAAAATGTGGACACTGAAAAGTTTAAAGGTTTTAGTAAATTACTCACTTGATTGCATTGAAGGTTGCCATGGAATAAAACAACATGGAGCAAAGCACAGATTTTCAATACATGTATATGGCATGGAAGTTAGAGCAGATTACTACATGCTCCCAGATGAATACAAAAAATGAAGGGCCACTATTGTGTCTAGTATGAAAATAGAGACTCAAAAAAAAAATCAAATCAATTACTCGTTTCAGGTCCTCTGGGGCATCTTGGTCTCATTAATGCTTATTCAACCAAATTACAAAAATACAGATTTCATGCATTTTATATATTTCACCTTGTGGTTTGTTTGTTTTTTAACTGCACATAATTTCAAATGACTGAATTCAACAAAGAACTCCATTGGGAAACAAGCATACCACCTATATACATGTAACCAGATTTGAATGTTAATTTAAATTTGTATTGAATACCAATAGAAAACCAGATTCAGTGACTTTCAGATTATGTGCTCATTATTTATATGGTATTCACAGAAATGTAATTATCACAAAGTCAGGTGAATTGCTATACACATGACAGCTGCAGGAAAAAGTCCAATCTTCTTCATTCAATACTTTACTGAAAGACGATGAAAGTAACTTACCTCTCTGGGTAATAATGAAATGAAGTCTCTCTGAAATTGAGGTTCTATTATCGACATGACATGTCTGACTTGTGACGGATCACATCTGTTTATTAATTCATCTAAAGCCATCAATCGTTGTGAAGCACTCCAACTCTGAAAGAAGAAAGCAACATTTCAGATTACAAGATAACAGGATGAGCAATTGAAGATTAAGACTCAAGACTAATTGTATAATCATGTAAAACTCTCGTAAGTTTGACTGGAAATCATCTATGTGCATGACATGATATGGTGGAAATCTTGCAATTTTACAATTAAATGGCCTCCAAGCAGCCATCTTCATTCAGACTGTGTACATGATGGATGTGATATTTGAACATGGCTAATGCAAGCACTGACACAAAGAGGAAAATCCCTGTTTTCGACATCATTCGAACTATATTCTCTGTTGCATAAATGAATACAAGATCCATGTATACCATATTAGCTCTATCAGTAGTGCATGCACTTATGTAAATTTCAGAGGTGTTTGTTCCTAAGGTCAAAATAAGTAATATTTTAATGATTCAGCATAAAACAAGTGACCTGACAGTCAAAATAGCTCTGTTGTCTTCATTATCATGAAACAAGAATATGAGAAAAATGTTCACTAAAAATCCAAATTTGCATATTTTACGACTAATTTAACAAATCTGACAGAAGACCACCCCAAGTATCATTCCTAGAAATATGAAAGCATTTGGACTTATGGTTTTGGACTAGTTGTCGAAAATAACAAAAATATTCACTAAAAATCCATATTTTGAGACGAATTTAAAAAAATCTGACAGAGGACTACCCCAAGTACCTTTGGTACAAATATAAATGTAATTGGTCAAGAACTTCTGAAGAAGAAGTCGTTTAAAGGAAAACTTCACGCGGGGAAACGGGATGCGAGACTGACAATGCCGGAGAGACCCCCATACCAACAGCTCCGCTGGGTCATCTGCGATGACAGCGAAGCTAACAAATGTTTTTTTAGTTTATATGCACTACTAATAAAGTAGATATGGTATAGCCATCAACAAATGGGAGGCAGATCTATGCATGGATATCATGCTTACCTGAAATGTTTTGAGCCACTCATTGAGATCTGGAGGTGGTGGATTAACTCGTGATGACAGTCTTCGCCTTGGAACCTGACATTCACTCGTCTTAACAGTACCATAATTATGATGGTGACTATACACAGTCAATAGACTGGAACTGAAAATATATACAATAGTAAATAAAATTGCAATTAGTCAAGCATGCATGTAGAGACAAAGTTTACCTAATACAAAATGTCTGCCACTTAGCAGTTTTGAATCTGATCTGAAAAACAAAATTACAAACATCAAAATCTCACGGATGAAGACCGAATTATAAGTCCCCATTTTCAGACTTCGTCCAAACGGGGACTAATAATCGACTGAAATGAACCCTTTAATGCTACTTCTACACAAAATAATATATATTGAGGAACAATTTAAATATTAAACTACAAAAATATGATGATTGTGATTGGTTTAAATATAGGAACACATTTTCACAGGGTGAAAACTTTTTGTACAGCGTCACCATAAGATGTCACTCTGCAATGAACTGTGCTGGCTGTGACGGTCTGAAATTAAAATCTTGATTTTTGTATGTCAATTAAATGAATATATCTTTCAAATTACACATGCCTTGTAAGGAAGCTTTTACGAACACACGCAACTCAGAATAATTTTGAAGTAAGCTGTATAAAATGGCAAAGATTCACAGGTGCAAAACGGAAGACAATTTAAATCTAGGAAGACCCCAAGATGCTATGACGTCATCGGTTTCACTCCACAAGCATAACGTGCACTGTTGCCGGCGACCGGGGGATTAATACCTTAGAACAAGGGTGTTTCTCAATCGGGTGTTGAGTGACTATGCAATCATGTTTACATGTGTGTAACTTGATGCTTATTGACAATGATTAGTATAATGATGCACTTGAAAACTAGCAATGGCCAACAAAGCGCAAATCCATAGCTTTTCCTTCCTCTCTGTAAATGCCAACTGACCAGCATAGGAGAAGGGAGGTGGCAATGCAGCTATGATCAACATGACAATAATTAAAACACTCATATGCTACAATAAAGATAATGAAGATTCATCAGAAGAAAACTATGGCAAATCAATACCGCTGGCAAAGATCAGAATACCCAATGATAAATGACTACTTTATCTGTTATATAGCAGCAACTCATTTACACTGAGATATACAATTATATTGACCTTTTTAAATTAGTTTCGCTTGAATCTATTATACTGGTTTGTTCAATGCGGCTAAAATATTTGCACCAGTTCATCCCTAGCAAAGTAAAAATAAGTAATTGACAGTAAACATCAAGTTATACTGAAATTAGAAAAGATGGAAGTAAATTTTAACCAAATTACATCTACAACTACCGGTTAACTCACGAATGAATCAGCATCCCTAAGAACACACAAAGTATACACAGAAATATATTAATGGATTAGAACCCAAAAAAAATTAGAGATATGATTTTGGTAACTTAAGATGACATCCTCAAAATCTAATTTTCTTATTTGCATGAGAGAAATGACAAACTGGGAGTCTACTTCCATCGTTGCATCAAACACCATGGCAACTTGATTCTCCCCTGAAACATTCAACCTATTTTCAGATGATAGTTTTCATTTGGATATAAGGCCATCATTTTTTTTAGAATTATTAGGAATACCATGATCTAAAAATTAAAGTTCTAGTTGTTGTGACCTAGACTACACATGTATAAATATTTGTTTCAACATCAGTGCTTCAATCTAAGATGGATTACACACTGTTATTAAAATTGGTTGATTTTACACCAAATTCATTACAGTATACAAAATGCACATCATTTGTTGTAGGGGAGGGGGTGTCATCAGCAATCAGTACAAGAATCTCATAAACATATTTAAGGAATGACATATGACTTTGATCTGAATGGATTTTCAAAAAAATTACTACAGAAAACCAATATAACGTGCTGCCTCACATGCATACACTGACATTATCAGCTAAGTTTAACAAATTATCATAAACTGTCAAATGAAATTTGTGGTTAGGTAACAATTCAGAGTAAATAATTTTCCCAAAAGCATTGCCAAAAAAACAAAAAAACAAACAAAAAAAACACGAACAAAACATAATACCTTATTTTGGTGAAGAACTTCATGAAAGCGCGATTTAATGGAGTGTTCTCGGCAAATAAATAGCTGCCATGCTACAAGCTTACAAGCAAATAACAGATGGATTTCTCTTAAAGAATCACACAAGACTGAACCTTCAGTGAGCAGCGAGCAACTGCATCTGCATCTCCTCTCAGGTTAAACAAGAGAAAACTGAGACAAAGCTGGGTCAGCAAAGGACAGGAAGTGAAATGGTAATAAGTCTCATAAATAACTAAGCAGCTAAGGCTAATTCATTTTCTCTAAACTAGACATTATCATAACTGTTTGCTGAAATTAATCAATTAGGTGCGTTTCCTCTCACATTCCAAGTGTCAATAACAAAAAATTATATTTTAGGTGAACTCTTTAAAACCAGTTCATTGCCATACTCACCTGATACAGCCTAGACAGGAAATGAAACCAAGGAAAAAAACAACAATAAATTGTTGTTATTTAAAGCAATTCATATTCATAAAAAGGCCTAGATATTCTCTCAACAATACAATCCACTTTTGAATTATTAAATGCAAAATAATTTAGGAAGAACAAAATATATTTTAATTTATATTTTATTTATGGCAGTGTAAGGTGATCTCCTGTATCGTGTGTACACGTATTCAGGCTTGTAAGTACAGGCAGCGCTTTTCATGTCCAGACAGTCACAAAACAGATTTTCGTTTAAACCAACTTAAAGCCGCCAGTACATCCAAGTACATGTGAGAGCTGAACAACAGTTCTAAGAACTTTAACTTCTGTTCCATATTCAAATGAGAAGTAGTTGTGATAATTGGATTACAGGAGCAGTGACAATGTCTTCACTACTCAAGTCAACAAGATATATTGGCTTCAATACACATGGTGTCATATTACATACTGATAAATGTATATAATTCACATATAATTCAATAAGACATTTTAATTTTGCAATGGGAGAAGTCAAAGCAAACTGCTAAATTCTTGGAGCAGTGAACATGAACATTGAAACATGATGCTAAAGTCATATTTGTGTAAATTTATCTCCATAAATTTATCTACAACAATTGATAGCTGAGAAATAACTTTTACATGTATTATTATTATTTGAAGACTATGCATGTAGCAAATTTATCTTGTGTCTTCAATGAGTCTGTTCCAGGACTGTGTTTTTTATCATTTATTTGTGTGAGTAACATACTGTACATCTCACTTATGGAAATTTTCACAATTTTATGGTATTTGTTACATAGAACTTAAAAATTGCATTATTTTTCACAGGTGTCACAGTAAATAACATTGATATGGTAAAATACTACAAATGTACATTGTAAAAATGGGGGGAAGGGGTGTGTGTTAGAGGGCGCTATCACATCCAGATGAAACATTTCAATTCATTGAACGCAACAGTGTGCTCATTTGCAGTTTGTATCTTTTTTAAAAGTTGTTTTTTGCATTTGTGTATTAATATTGTTTACTGAGAACAATTATTATTCAACACTAGAACTTTCCGTAACTCAATCACTTGAGGATATTCACCACAGCAAAATTTCACAAAAGGGCAATGACTCCTTGTCAAAATATTTGCCAACTTGCGTAAATTGTATGTTTTTCACAAAAAACAAATTTACAGTATTATTCATATTCTTAAACCATCATATGAGGCCACCGATGAACGAGTCTTGAGAAATTAACTGAAAAAGACCCATTTTACATACGCTAATGTAAATAATGACTTGAGAGCAGAAACTAACATTATTGAAAGTGAGTGGCCGTGGGTAGATTCTAATGATGGATTTGCTACACAGTTTCACAAGAGCAGTTGTTAAACGACTCTTACAATCTCTACAGGCAATCCTGCCTTAACATTAAAAAGCCTACAAGTACGATGAATTTAGTAACCTAACAAGTATAAGAACCAATCGCTTTCAGTAGAGAAAAAAAACGCAACACTTACAAATATTTCAAGTTCCATGTAATGATCGTCTCCTATCTCAAGTATAATTTCTCTCCACACATGACTCTAGCGTGGACTACAAGTCGTTACTTGTACTCCTTGGCTATATCAGTTGATGACATACAGAGTTCAGTATGCAAGAAATCATTGTGTGGTTAAGAGTAAACCACAATCCAAGGTGACATCATGGTTTATACGGTAAACACTCACACACCATTGTTCACATTGTTTGACACAGGTTTGAACTTTAAACTTCATATAAACACAATTGAATACTAAATTGTTTTCTTAAATGATAGATTACAGGTACAGCTAAACCTGTGTATTGCAACCACCTAAGGTACTTTATATGGTTCTTTACACAGAGATTGACTGGCAAGTAAAATCAATAATTTCTCATTTCAATAGATATTTTAAGATGGGAAATAAATAGTTTGATTAAATGGAAAATGTCATGTGAAGACGAGCATAAAACAATAAACATGCAATCACTTTCTATCATTGACATTTATACAGGTTTTATTGACCAAAGTGATGCCAAAAGGATGGTTACTGGTCACATTAGACAGAGAAGGCTTCATAATATGTAGGTCACTAAACATTTAAATTGCATTGGGAGGTCTTTATATAAAGGTGGTCACTAATGGACAGGTGGTC